AAAATGCTCAAATGAAGTTGAGAGAAACAGCCATCGGATGCGCCAATATGCTACCGATCAAATGAGGATCTCTTCGAGATTGGGTAAATGCTATTGTTGCTCGCACCGCTTACCTATCTAGGGTCCCAGAAATCTCATTTTAGCAAGGATGGTATGTAATAATAGTGATGCACCTGACGAACCATTTGGTCTTGCATTGGGATATATGGGGATTTGCATGGCCTTTCGAATAAGAAGATGATTATCCCCAACGCTTTTTGTTCCAGTGTTGCAGTGTTCCAGGCTTTTTCTTTCGCTTCACTACAAAAGCATTCTTATTTCGCTGTACGCTAGCTGCCTCAATATCTCTCTCCTTTATTTTCACCCAAATAACATGGCCCGAGAGGAATTGACTCCTCCGAATCACTCGGACAATTCAATGTCAGGCTCAATGGATAAAGAATCCGGTCCTAACGGGCCTGGTACTGCAGACCACGTGGAGATCATTCGTACTGGTTCAGGAGTTCCAGGAAACACACATTATAACGAGAAGGATTTGCAAACATATGTGAACGATGAAGCTCATAATCATGAACCACCGGTAGGCATGGATATATATATTTGAGAATTTCGTAGCTGAAATGTGCTTAATAGATGACTATGAATCGATTGATGTCCTTGGTGGCAATGGCTTTCTTATGGACAGGCTCACAAATACCAGTATATCTATTTGGTATGCTTTTCTGTTCCATTAAGAGTAGTGTTGATCTAACGAAGTATCTAGGAGGTATACCACCATATATTTACGGAGATTTGGGGGGATCGGATAGGTGGACCTGGTTTGTGTTGGCCAATCTACTTGCTTTGGCAGCAGTATGTCCATTCGTAGGAGCGTTGTCGGATCTGTTTGGGAGACGGTATATTGCCATGTTTGGTGCAGGCTTGATTGTCATTGGAATGATTATCTGTTCCACGGCACAATCTATGAACGTCTTTATTGGTAAGCTTATTTCGTACTACTGATGTCTTTTAAACATGCTAATTGATTCCAGGTGGAATGGCTATTGCTGGTGCTGGCGCTGGAATAAACGAATTAACAGCACTTGCTGCAACTTCGGAACTTGCGCCAACCGCGAAGCGAGGGAAATATGTGGCCGTGCTAATCTTCACCATTCTTCCATTCTGTCCATCTGTTCTCTGGGCTCAATTGATCTCATCACATTCGAGCTGGAGATATGTAGGATTATTCTGTGGTCTTTGGGCATTTGTTGGACTAGTCATCACAGCGGTATTCTACTTTCCACCTCCTCGAGTAAATTCGAATGGCCTCTCACGAAAAGAGGTCATCTCTCAAATCGACTTTGTTGGGGGGTTCCTCTCAATTGTTGGTTTGATTCTTTTCGTCGCTGGTCTTCTGTGGGGTGGATATCAGGTGAGAAATCTTATTGCCAGTCTATCCTAAAATAATCACTAACACAATCTAGTATCCATGGGGTTCTGCACATGTACTTGTTCCACTTATCCTCGGTGGTATATCCATCATTGCCTTCTGTTTCTGGGAAGTGTATGGCGCCAAAAACCCCATGTTCCCCTCTCGACTCCGAAAAGAACCACGTATTTTAGCTCTCACACTCGTCATCACCTTCATCTCAGGCGCGAACTTCTTCTCCGTTTTGCTCTTTTGGCCTACACAAGCATTCAATGTTTACGGACATGATCCAGTTGGTGTCGGAATCCGAGGTCTTCCCATCGGTTTTACGATTCTCATCGGCGCATGTATTGTTCTTTGGCTCTTGTCGGTCTTTCGTGGAGGTATCCGTATGCTCATGGTTATTTCATCCTGTATGATGACCGCGGGATGCGGTGCCCTTGCCGCTGCTGATCGCAATAATATTAATACTGTTTACGGTATTCTCATCATCGCCGGTCTTGGAATTGGTGGTATTGTCGGTACGTAACAGCTTTCAAGCTCCTCAACACCCAATTTTGTTCCCCGACCCCAAGCACCCTTGCTGTTTTCCTCACATGCACCCCTTTTAATTTGTAAAAATTCCTCGTTCGTCTGATTAAAATTACTAACTCTCCAATGTAATCCAGTCCCCGCCTCAATCATCACCACCATCATCTGTCCGGACGACCTAATCGCCACAATCGCCGCCCTCACCCTCGCCATCCGCGTAGTTGGCGGCGCCATCGGATACACAACCTACTACAACGTCTTCCTCAACAAATTCGTACCCGAACTATCCGCACGAATCGGGCTCGCCTGCTATAAAAACGGCATTGTCGACATAAAAACCATCACGCATATTGCTACTTTGACGAGCGAAAGTCTCCTAGATGATATCTTACCGCTTGTTAATAATAATGTTACGGTTTGGAAGGAGGTTGTGCTTGCGGGTCAGGAGGCGTATGCTGCGGCTTATCCGTGGGTTTATTATGTTAGTATTGCTTTTGGGGTGGTTTCTATTGTGGCGAGTGTGGGCTTGGGTGATATTAGTAAGTATATGGATGATCATGTTGCGGTTGTTCTTCATTGATTTTTGTTTTGTTTTGTTTTTGGTGGTGTGTAGAAGGGATGT